CAATGTTAATATTTACCTATGACAGTCATTGAGCGTACTCTACAGAATGTTGGATTTTACTATTCTATGACGCACTCTCGTCATAAGCATCAACCCCAAATGAGAATTATTGCACAGACCCTTCAATCTAACTTGCCCAACATTCAATCTCAATGGTGTAGTAACATATTTAGAGTTCGCAAAAACCGGATCACTCGTGGCAGACAGGTTAAAATACAAGTGTTCTTCTTAGGAGAACATTTTCAAGACTTTGTGGAAACCACCAGCAGGGGTCCAAGGTAAATGGCTGGTCAGTTTCTCCTTTCTCAGAGTCGTTCTGATGTTCATTAGGAATCAACGGGTCATTACTTAACCATTTTCCTACTCAATCAAAGTGCAGGCAGAAGACAAGAGCTTTCATTCAGTCTTAAAGGGCAACAGGACTTTCATCATGGGACTATGAGAACATTTCTGATTGTCATTCTTTACTTGAACAATTTAGGACTGTTTACTCTATATAACTCTTGTATTTTTTGCTTGAAAAAAAGGAGTTATAATGTATCTTATTATTTATAATGTATATAGTAGGGCCTAGAACATGTCTAATTAAATATAAACAAGATTTGATCAAGTCAACTAATTCTTCATAAGAAATTAGAAAATGAAAAATAATAATCAATTTATAACAGTGTAAAATTTATTGACTTCGTCAAGGGAGCCAGATCATCAACAGAAGCTACATGATATTTGGCATTTTGTTATCACGGACTGCTGAAATTTAATTAATATTTTCATGAAATAAAAAAAGTTAAAGCACTATTGGCAACAACAAAAAATTTCTTCTCCATACCTGTATATAATCATCAACCTTAACATTCTAGTAAAATTTTGAATGCCAAAGTATCTATCTTTTTTTCGACATTAATTTGTAAGTTACTGTAGTTTTACCTCATGTTTCTATAATTTTTTGATTGCATCATTATATTTTTTTTTTCAATTATAGACGATCATCCGGTATTCATAATACATTACACTACAAAACAACATGCAATTAGTGACAGAATTTTTATTTAGCGACGGAATAGAATTAGCGATAGAATTAGCAATGGAATTTGTTCTGTCACTAATTCCTCTGTCACTAATTGGATTAGCGATGAAATTGAAATTCCATCACTAATTAGCCATTGATTAGCAATAGAATTTTCTGTCACTTTTCCGTCATTAATCCGTCGCTAATTACTTATAGAAATTTCCATCACAAATTTCATCGCTAACCCAATTTTTGAAAAAAAATTTACAATGCTACTAGTCACCACATTATCACTAGCCGGCCACCTCCACATGTGGTTGCCTCTCCACATGTCACCTTGTGTTGCCACGTGTCGCCACCATATAATTTCTCCACAAATGACTTCCACATGTCACCTCCTGTCGCCACGGGAGGAATTGAATTAGCGATGGAATTTGTTCCATCGCTAATTCTTCTCTCCCTAATTGGATTAGCATTGGAACTGAAATTCTATAGCTAATTAGCCATGGATTAGCGATAGAATTTTCCATCACTTTTTCGTCGCTAATTACTGACAGAAATTTCTGTCACAAGTTTCGTCTCTAACCTGATTTTTGAAAAAAAAAAATAAACTTAAAATGCTACCAATCACCACATAATCGCTGGCCAGTCACCTCCACGTGGGACCTCCTATGTGCGCGTGCGACTTTACTAGTTGAATTGCAATGAACCTGTTAACTTATTATGCAAAATTATATATAATATTCTTTTACACAAACAATTATTATATACATATATATTATTAAAAAATAAAAATAAACTAAATGATAATTTTAATCATATGTATTTTAATGACAAAATAATTTTTAAATATTTTTTTACTATTTATTTTATAATGTTTCATTTTAAAAAAAATATTTTTAATATAATTTTAATTTCCAATGACACTAATTTTGAATTAAAAATCATAAATAATTTTTTCATAAATATGTCTTTAAATTTATTTTTTTAATTAACATTGATAAGATATATAATTTAATTTTGAGTAAAATATATTGACTACCCCTCTATTTTACTTAAATTACAGAAATCTCCCTTCTATTTTGAAAACATAAACTTCCCTTCAAATTAAAATGTATGTTACACAAACATTCCTTATATTTTTAATATTCAATTTCCATCCATCCAACTGTTAGTTGACATTAAGTTTGACTTTTAAATTTTTATTTTGACCAAAACATCTTTCTTTAGCATAAATGTTATTTAAACATTTATATCTATAAAAAAAATTTTGATGCAACAAAAAAATAATTATAATACATGTATTTTCAAAATTTGTAATATATCAAAAAAAAATTTAATTTTAATTATATTATAGAATTATATAATTTTAATTTCTCATGAAATATTGAAACTTAAGATTTTTTTTAAATGACTAGAAAATATTTTGAATACTTATTTTCTCATCACATAATATAAATTATAGGAGCTTGGAAACTTACATAAACCATTTAAATGTATGTTTGCATTAACTAAATTACTTAATGTTTTGGCCCAATATGACAAAAACATTAAAAAAAATTTCAAAAATAAAAAAATAAAATTAAGGTAAAGGAGAAAATCTTAAATTCTTTGATATAGTTTTAACCAAGATTTTAGGATTTAGTATTATGAAGGGTAATTTATTAAATAGAAAGTATTTCAATATAAATTTGAATTTAAAAAACATCTTTTTGAAATATTTTTAATGGAGTTAATAGTTTACATTTAAGTGTATGTTTTCAAAATAGAGTGGAGATCTGTGTAATTAAAATAAAATACAAGGGAGGTCAAAGTATTTTACTCTTTAATTATATATGTATTATGTTACATTATACTACCTCCGGTCCTTAAAATAAAACTTTATTTGACTTTTATTTTGGTCCTAAATATAAGACCCAATCCACTTTGTCTCTCATATTTATACATTTTTTCCTAAAGTAATCCTTCTAACAACGGTAGTTTTAGATAACAGACTTGATTAGCAAGGATAGTTTAGAAAAAATAACACCTATTTATTACTAATAACTAACTTAACTAAGTTCCTTAATCTTTCCAAATTAGTCAACTGGGTCTTATAATTAGGACTAGAGGTAGTATTAAATTATCTATATATGCTTTACATATTTGATGAAAACCATTTATAATTAGTAAAATAATCTTGTTATTCAAAAAATAGCTACTATAATAAAATCTAATAAATTATTCTATATAAAAAAATTAAATAATTTGAATGGATTATGATAGACAATATTCTCCTACCTATATATGTATCCTATATAACTTATTTTCTTAAAATTCTTTGTATATACTATTTGTTTTTGAATTGAAGACCAAAATCAATCTATATAATGGGTATTAATTATATCATGATTAAATTTTATTATTTAATGAGTGAAATTCAAAATTCACTTCAATATCAGTTTGATTTATAATCATAAATTGAGGTGTTCACATAAATTCATTTTTTGGTTTTAAATTTCTATCATATATTATATCTTTTAATAGTACATATGATAAAATTATTTTTTCTTATATCACTTTGTATAAAAATGTTATTAATATTCTTATTATATTTTTTAATTATTATTAATAATCAAGAAGAATTGATGAAATATAAACAAATTTTCTAAGAAATTATCTTGCTATTTTCAGTATGTACCTAATGGTGACAATTACTTCATTAACACCAACTTCACAAATATATCAATTTATTTTACAATTAAAAATACATTTAAATCATTATATTCTTAATTATGTTATTGTATAAATTGTTGTAAGATTATAATCTAAAATAATAAAATTTAAAACTAACGACGGAATTACGACAGAATAGAATTAGCGATGGAATTAGTGACGAAAATTTTTGTGACAAACAATTTAGTGATGAAAATTTGTGATGGAATTAGCGATGGCATTTTATAATTAAAATTACGGAAAAAATTCTGTCACTAAATATTTATTGATGAATTTTTAAATGGATTAGTGACGGACAAAAATTTCGTCACTAATTTAGCTATGGAATTTCTGTCAGTAATCCGTCAGAAATTAGTGATGAAATAATTTTTCGTCGCTAATTCTGTCGATGATAAACTATTTTTTTTGGTAGTGTTAATCAAGCTTGATGTGGATACAAACTAAGTTAATTAATTCTTATGTTCATTGGTCAGTTATTGGATCCTTACACTTTTTTCAGTAATATGTTGAAACATTATTATCCTCTTACATCATTATGTCCTTGCATCTATACATATTAATAAGAAAAATGATAAAAAAAATACCTGTTAAATTTTTAAAAAGACAAATAGGATGCTAACTACTTTTCAATGATTTTGGTTATACTTATAATGGTTTTTATTACCCAAAATTTGTCCAAATTACTTATTTGTTATTTTGAAATTCAATAGGTATTTTTTTTTATCATTTTTCCATATTAATATATAATTTATAGGCCAAAGTATACAAAATAGTCTTTTAACTTCATAAAAAATTTCAATTTATTCTCTTAACTTTGAAAAGTATATTTTAATCCTTTAATCTTAAAATTATTAACTAAAAATGGTGACATTGATATTTTAAATGTTAATAAAACATTCTCAAATACTAACTTATTAAGTTTTAATTTTCAAAATAATCATACATTATCATTTAAACCTAACAACTTTAGAGCTAAAGGATTAAATGTATGCTTATTAAAGTTAAGAGATCAAATTGAAACTTTATATAAAATTAAAAGACCAAATATACACTTTAGTCTAATTTGTAATATGATTTATTTTGATTTTATTTGGATTCCTATAGCAAAATTATTTCCCATATATGTTTTGTAGAAGTCACACCATAATAATCAGGAGACCTAACATAATTAATACTTCTCCGGTTCTTATTAACAACTCATAACGTCATTGTCCGTCATGTGAACAAGTCAGTTGCGGGAAGAAGCCAGCCGCCCCAACAGCCTGAACTTCCACTCGTAGAAATTATCAGCAATAAGACAATACATCGATACATCTCTATTTTCCTTTTAATCCAAATCGTTCTGGTTTTCCTGCTTAGCTCTAACGTCTGTGTTGCCTCCTCATAGCGATTCATTTTTACACATTAATTAATATGTATCATCATCACCCTTCCTACATTTCAAACCACATAATTTTCTTGAGAGAATTCTCCGGAAAATTCAACGATTCAATCTTTTCTTCCCCTTGTGTATGGCGAGGACCGGCTTGTTTAATCTTGAGAAGCATTTTGCCTTCTATGGAGCTTACCACAGCAACCCCATTAATATAGCGATCCACACGCTCTTCGTTTGGCCAATTTTCTTCTCTGCTCTGCTTATTCTCTACTTCGTCCCTCCTTTCTTCAACATCCCTAATTTTGAGTTTTCCCTCTTCGGCTACGACGTCGCTTTGGTTTGGAATCCTGGGTTCGCCATTGCCTTCGTCTATTCCGTCTCTTACGCCAGGTTGGATCTGAAAGCTGGTTCCTTAGCTGCTCTGCTCTGTATAATTTGTTGGGTGGCAAGCTGCTTCGTTGCTGGCCTACTTGGGTTCTGTCTGGCTTGGAAGGTAAACCAATTTGCTGGGTTTTGTTGATGTGAAATAAGTTTTCATCTCTTTGATATAGACCTTTCAAAAAGCTTTCCTGCAAAACGTTAAATGATATTCAAGATTTGCTTGAAAGCTGAAACCCACACTAGAATCTAATATGTATGACATAGAGGAGAAGGTGTAGTGTTATAGGAGCCTTTGATACTATTGATATTGATATGAATATCTAAAAGTAATATTGCAAAAGACAACTCTTAGAAATGGAGAACCCAATGTCCTTGTAAAGTCAAAATTTCATCCTTCAACTGTGAGTGAAGTCCCATAACTTGTGATATAACTTGATCATAGAAATTTTTAGAAATGGCATTAACATTGGGGTTAGGGATGAGGTTCAGTGGTTCTAGAACCTTTTTCTGCAACGAGGAACTTCATGTCATAGAGAGTTATAAGAGAAACAGGAATGTAAGTGACAGCCTAATTTAGATGTACCCAGGCAGCTACTTTAGTTGTGAACTGGAATTTCTCAAGGAGAAAACATTGTTTTGTTCATATTTCATTTGCAGCTGGCTCAAGTTTCCCCAAATGCTGCTATAATATGATTCTTCTTTTTTAAGTCTGAACTATTTGATTAAAAATTCTTGTTGCTTGGGAGAAATTGGACTGGGATAAATCTGTTCTGATCTTCCTCCTCCCCTTTAGCTCTGACTGATTAGTTTACAAATGAATGTCTAAAACCTTGACTCTTCATTTGCTATGTGCTTGCAAGAAGTTCAATTGGTTTCAATCAATGAACAGCAGAATTTTAGTTTCACGGTCTTTAAAAGTTAGAGCAAGCTTTTCTTTTTTAGCAGGTCCCGTGGTATTTCTTATGCATTCGGTTTTAATCATAAAATGATAGTGCCACTGTTTTTCTTGAGGATCCTGATTGCATTTCCCCTGTTGTCTCTATTTAGGCTACCTCAGCAATACAATTTCTAATTCTTTAAAATTCAAACAATTTAATTCTTGCATCTTTGGTTGCCATAACAATATAGACAGCACCGTTTCTTAAACTAGAATGTGATTTAAGAATAGGAGTGATGGAGACACCAGAATGTCCTTGCAACTTTCAAAGGTTTTCTGAGAGTGTGACATTTTAACTGATGAGAACCACATCTGATCTGACTTTTTTGTACCATTTTAGATACTTTGAAACTTATTAGTACCATTATATTAGTCAACATCTTGTACGAGTTGGAATAAACTTAAGAAAAATTTGTAGAATGGACTAATTGATTCTCAAGAGCTCTAATCTTTCATCTCAGACATCTTAAAATTTTCATGTGATTACTGATTAGGGGATTTTTTTCTTGTTCATTTTATTGTACTTCCTCCCACCTTTTTGCTGCTGACATACGCTCAATTAAATGTTTAGTAGATTTCTTTCTAGTCATCATCCATGAGGGCTTCTTGTTGACGCCTCATCTAATCATTTCCTTTGCTCTTATGTAAACATAAGCCTCTCATTTGTCACTGTCACTATAATCTAAACCTCTTCATGCCGCCAGGTTGTCCTGGTGATTCAGCTAGTATGTTGGACGGGGCAGTTCATTGGTCATGGAGTATTTGAGGTACCTTGCTTTAATAGAAAGCTGATCACTGACCCAAAATCACACACACACAGACACATATGGAAGTCTGAGACCAAATTTTTTATGTTACAGAAACGAGCACCTGCTCTTTTTCATAACCTTGTTCAGGCCCTTATAATGGCTCCTTTCTTTGTGTTGCTGGAGGTATTGTCCTTATAATTTGAATATTGTCCTGAAATTGTTATATTGGCTATTTTTTCCCTTATTTTCCCCCTTGCGTGTTGTCTTCTGTCGGAAGTTCATTGTATGATTATTTCATTTACTTCAGGTTCTCATGAGTTTATCTGGGTCTGAAGGGTTTCATTCTATAGTACGAGAAAAATTTGAAGCTGACATCAAAGCATGGCAAGAAAATAAGCAGCAATTACTTTCTTAGCTTCTTCCTGTGTTTGTGACTCGTTAATAAATGCTCTATGAACGGTTGGAAGATTGCAAAACTGTAGATAATATGATATAATTGTGTAGAGCCATATTACACCAAACATGTAAATGAATTTGTTTTAGAAGTTAAAAGTTTGGGTGAATTGGTTTGGCTCTTCAGAGCAAAATCATAGTTCATGGTCTAAAGAATGCTTGCAAATTATATATTCGTACGTTAAATACGAATAAGATAATTATGTTGATAGTGACCAACTTCTCATCATATTGATTATGACTTTAAAACATGTTAATTATGCATGATAAAAAAAGTATATTAATCATGGCAACAATGAGTGTTGACCTGCCCTTAATTCATGTACACTGGAGGGATCGGGTGTCCTTCCCTTCTAACGTTTTTGGTCCTGCGTTCTTCTGATGGATACAGAGTAAGCCTACTTTATGTGCACGCACCCAAACATGACATAACTGTTTGACCCAAAGACAATCCAAATCCTCTATAATAGAAGATATTTCATAATTATGTCAATGGGAACAACGAACAACCTTGTTTCATCAGGTGAGTTCGATTACATGAACCTCACAATGTCATCATTGTGATCTACTCTCTATGTTCATTTTTATATGAAACAACTACAACTTATAAGTTATGGTTTGTTCATATTTACAAGAGACATTTAGAATATGTCTCAGATTTTATTTGTTAATTTTTCACTTTACTCCCATTTAATTACTCATTTTAATATTAATATATTTATCATTATACAGTCCGGTATTCTCTTCACCACACATCCTCTTTTTTTCATAATTCTCTTTATTTTAATAATTTTCTTGTTATTTCTCTTGTTTTCTCTCCCTTCTTAAATAAGGATATTTATATAATTTTTACATATTTATTATCTTTAACTAATTTTTTTATCATGATTCAATTAATTGTTTCTTATGAAAATAAAAAGGAGGAAGCATTAAGAACCAAATATTTAAATAAACTATTAATCAAAAGCAGAATATGCTTCTTTGGTTCTTGACTTGTAGTTCACGGAATCTTCGACAAACACAAGCACGCTTGCAAGTAAACTACTTTTGACCAAAGCGCAGTTCCCAGCATATCCGTAGCTATGATGACTGTGTCATGTCACAGACAAAGGGGTGCCGTAAATTTCCCAGGATCACAATTTTTGGCAACAAATTTAATAGATACTCTTCTGATGCTATTTACATGACAGAAAGAAGATTGTTTTTTATTCTATTTACAAGATACTAAGAGATGTTTTTTTTTTTTTATATGGATGTATAATGTTACCTTCATTTATTATTATAATGACTTTTTTTTACAGGAGGTATAATATATATTAAATAAGGATAAAATTAGAAAGGTGTGAAACACATTAGAAGTGACTGATAAATAGAACCAGATGAGTAGTAAGTTATATACTTCCTCCCTCTCCCATATCAACTACTCCTCCGGTCCTTAATATAAGACTCATTTAACTAATTTGATTATATTAAGGAAGTTAGGTAAGTTGGTTAATTATAAGAAATGTGGCATGTTTTTTCTAAAACATCATAATCATCGTTCTTAATACCCATCTTCTTCTTCCACTTGATTATGGTTAAGAGAGTATCCATATAGGTAATTTAAAGAAAATTGATAAATATGAGAAATGAGTCTTATATTTAGGACCAAAACCAATTCAATAGTTGGGTCTTATATTAAAGAGAGGAGGAATACATAACTAATTTATTAATATTAAAAATAATTAAATTGATTAATTTGAATAAATATGTATTGGTTTTTCTATAGTACTCATTTTAATCATTTACATTAAAAACTGCCTGTTTAATTTTAAAAAAAACTGTTAATATGTAGAATTGACAATGAAAATTTAAAGAAAAGATTATAATTTAGAAGATAAAATTAGTTGAGTTTTTATATTGATCAAAATAAATCTATCTACTAACTCTTATATTTAAAATAAGAAAGAAATATATAACTTATGGGCCTGCTGGTCACATGACACCAAATGTACGACTTTTGATCCTCTCCATATAAGTTGTAATCTTTTATTAGCTAACATGTGTGGTTAGCACGAGGCTCCTCAAAGATTTCGTATTCTAATAAACATATATATATATATATATATAAAATACACTGCCTTAGTTTATATATATATATATATATATATATTAGACTTCAAGCAACATAAGAAACTCATTTAATTCTATGAAATATTACAAAAGAATTTTAAAAATACCAATGAATATAAATATAAATATAAATAGGTCTAATGTAGTTTTTTCTGTAAATTTTTGTAATAAACATACATTGTAATACCTATTAATTTAACTTCAAATATCATCAATGTTCTATATGGTAATATCCACCACAAACCCTAACTTTTAAAATCTTCATTTAAATATATTGTATTTGGAGGTGGCTGGTCAATCTTTTTCCTGATATGTTTCAGTATATATTACTGCATGCCATGCCGTATTCGTTATCTTCTTCAGCAGGAGCTTTAATTAAAGTATCCATCAGAAAATGCGTCATAACTCTGCTTTTCGGCTATATATTTCTTTTGAGAAATTGATTCTCTTCTTCTTTTTTCTTTTGGTCAAATGATTAAGTCTCTTCATATCCATTTCTTGGTTGAACAAATCAATTTGACAAGAAATAGTCGTGTAAGTTATATATATGAGAGTTATATAAATTATACATTAAAACATGAATTTACCACGTGCTGTTAAAAATCAGTAGAATTGGAAGATAGGACAAAAAATAAAATAAAATAAAATTCTGTAAACCAAGCCGCCAGTAGAATTAAGAAAAGTTTGCGTTACTTATGAAGCGATAAGAGGAGAATATGAGAACTTGTTAATAAGTTGTATAATTATAATATAAGCTTCATCTACTTAGAGTTGTTGACCTGCCTAACATTAGCACCACTCATTCAAACAATTCATCTTTATTTAATTAATCCTATTTATATTTGACTTCCAATTACCTAATGACACAAACATTGATAAATATGTGCGCGCACGCGTGCATACATATTGTATTAATAATTTTATATCATGCCTAATGACTCATTTTTTACCTTGGTTTTCTTTTGTTTTTTTTTATATAAACCAGAGTTTTCTCAAATTACTTTGGACTTGAGACTAATCTCTATTAGGTCGGAAGCGTTAAGTTTAAAGTATTCTTAATAAGTGTGTTTCTTGTATTCGGACTTACCTCAGTTTTCTCTAACCAATGTAAAATTCTGTTGTAAAAGTTTTTCGGTAGTATTGTGTTTAATGCTTATTGATAGTATTTTTAATTGTGTTATAAGCATATAATAGTAACTTATTTAGTGTTTAATACTAATGGCAAAAACATGCCTTTAGTGCTAATGACCACCCACCTCGTTGTTTGCACATTTAATAGTAAGTTATAAATAAATACCTTGAGTAGACAGTGTGTTTAACAACATGATCATGTTTTTCTAATTAGGATAAAACTTAGTTCAAGTTGCTTATATAAATTAGATTATAGGTGAATTTACAATTTCACATATGCATTTTAACAACTAACAATATCAAAATAATGAGAAATGTCCATATTTTATTAGTGAATTTAAGTAGTACACATGCACATTTTGATAACAATACCAAAATAATAAGTGTCTATATGAAAATTTACAAATTCAAATTTAAATTATAAGTGATGCGGTAATCTATTTTTGTCTGTTTTGGAAGATTTTTTTAATCTGTTTAGAAAAAGATGTTGATGAAGTAGACATAAACAATAGCTAGGTACTTATTCGTTTGTTACCAACAGACAAAAAAATGACCCTATATTTGTCTATTGAGGCCAGAATAGATGCACATTTTAACCGCTAGCATTAACAAAATAATAAGTGTGACTAGAAAACTTAACTAATGGATAAAAACAACTTAAACTAAATTTTGCTCTTTTACCTAACTGGAATTTAAACAAACATATACAACGATATCATAAAATGCACTACCAAACAACCTTAAATATTCCTTAAAAAAAGTTAAAGGATGAAGTCAAAAATGCTTGATATTACCATATATCAGAAAGTTTTATATGTCCATACAAATCCAAGGATAATGAGCATTGTAACAGCATCCTAAACAAACACGTCAACTTAACTGCTTTCCACACGGCCAAGTTACTGTTCTCGTAAGCAACCCAAAGTAAAATGCAATGACTAATTAAATTAAACACTTTGGTCTCAATTATTGACTTGTGCAGTATTAATCTGCCAATAATTACACCCTCTGAATTACATCAATATTATTATATATATATATATATATATATTATGATTGTAATATGAACATAAGTTAAAGTCAGTGAGTTGTGAGGCCTTATTTGGCTTCACAAGGTTCCAAAATATATGATCTCAGCATCTGTTTTTTGCCCCCTTATTATATTGAAGTGCGATGATTTTTAAGAGTTTGTTTTGAATCAAACTACTTTTGAAACATTCCACATCAGTTTGATAAATTCAAAAGCCTTTTATTCTTATGAATAAATTACCATCTAGTGATATAAGCAGATATGGTTGGTGTGTCCTGTACCAGAGAAAAGGAAGGTAATTCCAGATTTGTACAATTAAAATTATAATAAACAAGCCAATAAGGTCGTTCTTTTGTACAAATAGTATATAAACAATGTCATCAGAGCTATCGGATCAGACGTCACTAATCTAAAGAGTCCCACCACTCTTTTACGAGTAATGTGATCGATCTTTCCGGAAAAAGAATCTTGGGATTATGGTATAGAGTGACGATTTTCTCGTCTTTTTCTGAACAGCCTAATCTCCTTCTTCATCATTGGTCATCTTCTTATCTCAGAACATTCCCATCTGGTTCACAAGTACTGGCTGGTTGATGATGATGTTGCATAGTACTGATCTGGGACCTCAAAGACTTGAGGTTTTACAAATGGGTCTATTATATTCCCAGCATTATTATAAGCAGTATTGATCTGATAATCAAAGGTTGAGTTGTAGGAAGAATCGGATAAAAGGTGAGAGATTGGAGCCAAGTAACTATCCATTTCCAGAAGATGAGTCAGAGAACAATTCCTCGGGAATTTCACCATTTGTTGCTCAGTGCCAACATTGATCTTATCATTTTCTTCTGACATGTTCGTTTCAGAACTTGGGTATTCTTCCTCCATTTCCTCCTTTAGGTCCATTGATTTTGCCATGTTCTTCTTCTTGTAAATCCTACACAGCACCCAGTCATCCAACTGATGCAACACAAATCGAAAGCACAAAAGGGTAAGTCTCAATCAAATCAAAACAAGTTATTTAGTCTGATAAGAAATATAAAGATTTTTCTGAGATGGGGCTGAGGGGCTTACTCTCATGGAACCAATATGCTTGTTGGATCGTCTTGGCGAACCAATGAGACGATACTCATGCATGATCCAATCGCACTTGACACCTTTTGGTGGCCTACCTTTGTAAAAGACCAGAGCTTTCTTCACCCCAATGTGCTTGGCCCCACTGTAAATTGCTTTGTCTGTGCCAGTGGCCTTCCAGTACCCAGACACAGTGGCCCTGTTTGGCCTCACCCCATTTGGGTACTTCCTATCTCTCGGGGTAAAGAAATACCACTCATTCTCCCCAAACACTGCCTTCTCTGCATTTCAAAACAGCCCAACAATAAGCCAAGCATGCTCAGGATCACTATGAACCGCAAAATATCCAAGAAAAACAGAGGATTCCCAGCCAAAAAAAACAGAGCAAACAAAAAGACATGTACAATACAAACACGAATTGAGAGAAAGAAAACAAGTGAGGATCGGAATATACCAGGTAATTGCCAGGGATCAAACTTGTAGATATCAACTTCAGGGATGATAGAAGCAGGGCAAGGCTTGGAGGTGGCTTGGTTACAAAGGTAATGGACGATTAATTCCTCGTCGGTGGGGTGGAATCTAAAGCCTGGGGGAAGATCAGAGCCTCTTGTTGATCTGGGCTCCATTGAAAGTTGTCAGTTCTCAGAGGCAAAAACAGTTGGTATGCGAATTACAGAGTGGGAACACAGGCAGAGAAGAAAAAGAAGAAGGAATCTGTGAAGAGGGCTTGAGAGAAATGAAGGCGTTTGAAATGTTAGCAAGCAGATGTAAGGTGCTTTTATCGTTGGGGGATTTTGTCGTTTTGCGGAGTTGCCGAGGTTTGATTGGTCCATCATACGACTTCGGCTATTCCTCCTAATAAGCAGTATCAAGTTATGCGTCATCTGATTTTTTTTTTTTAAGAAAAAAAAGATACTAGTGGCTAGAAACACTTTAGATTTTATATATATATATATATATATATATATGGATATTGGAAGCTCCAATACTTATCTTCTTATTGGGTTAAGATTCATGTATGTATGGTTATAAATACGTTTGTCTTTCATAAAAGTCTCTAGCAAAAGACATTTTGTAATTATAGAGATCATTGTATATGCTAATTTTGAACATAAATGACAAAAATGGTTATAAATAATATAGTAAATAAGGAAATTAAGGTGACATTCACACACACCGGCATCTTTTTTGGCCACGGCAGTCACGTACGCTTGGACCTTTTTTCTTGCAATACTCTCTCCCAATGCATGATTTAGCTACGTTTATAGATGCTGATCATTTGTGACAAATTAGTGGAAGTGAGGCATTTTCATTTTTTTTATAAATATCTAATATTATCCTAGTCCTTAATATAAAAATAGTTGATTAATTTAAATAGATTAATGAAATTAGTTAAGTTAATTATTTGTAATAAATAGATATAAAAGTTAAACAAGCTTTTATATTAAAGAATAGGTATAAAAGTTAAAAGAGTTTTTATATTAAGGACTGAATGTAATAACTAACTTAATTAATTTTATTAATCTATTTAAATTAATCAACTAGTTCTTATATTAATGATCAAAAGTAGTATTTGAAGAGTTGGTTTTTGAATTTAAATGTAATATATTGATACATTATATCTCTTGACTTAGTGCTGATCATGACACCCTTTCTATATATACATACTGACAAAAATCGAGTTCTTAATTAGATACTTAAAGAACCTTATTAAGCACCAACTATACTATATCTTGTAGTTAGACTATATCAAATTTATTAGAATTAAGTAATTTACTTAACATTTTTAATGTATCGAATTAATTAAGTAACTTATATATTAAAAATAGTACTAATCAGTATCCCCTTCAACCCAGCTATATAGTTAGTACTTAGTAATGAAATGCCAATAGCTCTGTAGGCTTAATCTAAAGGATTAGCACATGCTAAAAACACAGGTTTTTTGGATTATTGATAATTTATAATTTTTTTCGCCAACTATCGATAATTTATAATTTAAACTTTAAAAATATGATTATCTTCAGGATGCCTAGTTTTTTATACTTAATAATCAGTTGAAATTATCCAAGTAGAGAAAGTGAGAATGAGAAGGATTCCCACGTCTCATCCACCTAATTTCCAAGATTCGTTGAATGTACCCTTTAGCGTCTTCATCCACACGAATATTACCTGCATGCTGCTTTTATTTTATAGTAGTACTTTTTTTCATAATTTTATATGTATAATCAACATACTACTATATACAGGCTTGTGTGGTTAACGCTATTTTTTTAATCTTATTTTAATTTTGATTCCTGAAATTCCTTATTTAGGTTTCAGATACAAAAAATATTATTCTAAGAAGCAAAAATTTTTAGGCCAATAAAAATGAAATCAAATTTCAGATATAAAAACTACTAGTTTCAAATTTCAAAAATCAAAACTAAAATGATATCACATCGATTACTAAATAAAGTTGGCCTACAAATTAATGTTATATATATATATATATATATATATATTCGTCGGATATAGATATCTTAAACATTATGTATTGGATTCAATCAAAACAAATACGTGTGTGTGTTTGAATTGATATAAAATTTTTATTTATAAATTCTAAGTCAATTAAATTTGTATGGTGGTTCAATGCTGAATGAAAATGAATATTCTCAAATAATACCATTATTCATTCTGGATAATGTATACGTACCTTTCGAATGATTGGGCAGTCAGCAGCCATTTTAACAAAATTCCACGTAATTATGAATATGAGATTGAAAGAGAATACTGATCAAGTTTGAAAGATTCCTTGGAAAAACGAAAATATCTTTCTTTGCATATTTATTGGACTTTTGCAAGTAATCTGAATCTACAAGAAATGCGCACTAATTCTATGAGCCAAACTTTGTAAGTTTTTATTTATTTATTTATTTTGCTAGAGATATATTATAAGTTGGTGAGAGAAAAAATCAATTTGTTTGATAATGAGCATAAAATGTAAGGCATGAAAAATTAAACATGCTATTAAATTAAGAGAAAAAGATACAAAAATGACACTTAAACTTGGAAATCACAAAATGGTCACTTGAATAAGCAAAATCCTAATTTAGGTATAAGTGATCAATTTGGGATTTGTAAATTTGTTAAAATGACCATATTACCCTTTATCTTTTTTTTATTGTTTTTAAAAAATCAAGTACCCTTACTGGCGACCGGTCGCCGAAGTTTCAGTGCCAGCAGCAGCCACCGAAGCTCATGTGGCTGCCATCACCAGAGCTCTGGCAGCTAGCCAACAATCAGTCACCAAAGCTCTGGACGTCTTCAACTTTTTTTAAAAAATTTTTTACAACTTTAATAACACGGTTAACAAGTTTTGTAATGTTATTAACAAGTTCAATATAGCAGTTAACAACAGGTTTTTTAAAAAATTTAAAAAGTAGCATTTTTATAACTTCAGTAATGTTATTATTAAGTTTTGTAACTTTATTAATAAGTTCGATATAGCATTTATGGTGAGAACCCACAAGGGAAAAATCCCACGAACCCACAACTGATCTGAATATATGCACCCCAAGAACGTAAACAAAGGTCTCGTGATCCACTTGAACCCTTGAACACGGGAGAACAAGGACCCGAAGTGTTGAAAGACGCCACAAGGTTGATCAAGCCTTGATAAGTCTGTTAGTTCAATGAAAAACCCTAGAGAGAACCCCTCTCAAGTCAGAAATTGCAAAATGCAAGTCTTTCATTCAAATTCCAAATCTACATCCAAAATAAGGGTTACAATATCTTAGAAGATACATTCAGAAATCTGACCTAAAAAGCTTTAAATACAATCTAGAAAATCAAAATATAAAATACTAACTTAAATAAAATCATAAGAACTTGATTTAGGTAACTTGGAAACTCAAAATTCAAATATGCCAACTAATTATAAATTTTCGCCCAAATGCATTTAATGAAATATAATCAGCATATCAGGCCCCAAATATGATTAATTGGGCCCAAATGAGTCTTCTCATGTGTTGTACTTGATCCAAGCTCCTTAAATTGAGGTCTCCAAGCCCAAGATATAATCAGCAGCTTCCTTTTTTAGCCCAAATGACATTAGTGACGTCCTCAGCATTTTCATCCAGATTTGATGCTCCAACAAATGCCATCTGCTTTGTCAAGGTGGCTTGCACTAGTTCGCTCAAAGCTTCTTTAATTCTTTTAGCTCTTGCTCTTGTGATTGGTCTAGTTGGGATTTGCAATTGATCATTGGAAGTTGAGGAGTTAGCTTGCTGTATCACATCATTCCCTCTCTCCTGAAAAGGATTCAACCTCGAATCATCACCTGCATCAAAAGGAGATAAATCAACCACATTGAAAGTAGCATAACATTATACTCACCAGGTAAATCAATTTTGTAAGCATTGTCATTGATTCTTTCAAGCACTTGAAATGGACCATCTCCTCTTGGAGCTAATTTGGACTTTCTTTGAGCTGGAAATCTTTCTTTCCTTATATGCACCCACACCCAATCACCAGGTTCAAAGAGAACACGCCTTCTTCCTTTGTTAGCCTTGGATGCATATTGCTCATTTTTCTTCTCGATTTGTTGTTTCACTTTTTGATGAAGTTGTTTCACTGTTTCAGCTTTCTTTGTCCCATCAAGACTTGCCCTCTCATCAATAGGCAATGGTAATAAATTCAAAGGAGTTAGTAGATTAAAACCATATACTATTTCAAAAGGAGAATAATCAGTAGATGAATACACACTCCTATTATAAGCAAATTCAATGAATGACAAGCAATTTTCTCAATTCTGCAAGTTCTTTTGAATCACAGTTCTAAGCAATTGAGTTAAAGTTCTATTAACTACTTCAGTTTGTCCATCAGTTTGTGGATGACAAGTAGTAGAAAACAATAATTTAGTACTAAACTTACCCCACAAAACCCTCCAAAAATGACTCAAGAATTTTGTATCCCTATCAAAAACAATACTTTTAGGAACACCATGAAGTCTTACAATTTCCTTAAAGAACAAATCAGCAATATATGTGGCATCATCAGTTTTATGGCAAGGAATGAAATGTGCTATTTTAGAAAATCTGTCAACAACCACAAATATGGAATCCATTCTCTTTCTTGACCTAGGTAAACCCAAAACAAAATCCATTGATACATCTACCCAAGGTTCACTAGGCATAGGTAATGGGGTGTACAAACCATGTGGCAAGACTCTAGATTTAGCCGTTTTACAAGTTATGCATTTAGCACAAATTCTTTCCACATCACGTTTCATTTTAGGCCAAAAGAAATGTTCATGCAAAACATCCAAAGTCTTTTTTAAACCAAAGTGACCCATTAATCCTCCCCATGTGCTTCTCTCACAAGTAATTCTCGCAAAGAACATTGAGGCACACACAAATCTGTTTTCTTTAAACAAATATCCATCAATCCTATAAAACTTTTCAAATGCTTTCTTTTCACAAGCAAGAAACACTTCAGCAAAATCAGCATAAGTAGCATACAATTCCTTAATACATTCAAAACCAAGCAACCTAGCATTTAGAGTAGTAAGAAGAGTATACCTTCTTGACAATACATCAGCCACCATATTTCCTTTACCTTTCTTGTATTTGATGACATATGGAAATGTCTCAATAAATTCCAA